ACGACATTTCATGTACGTGATATGGCTGTCCATTTTTTCTTGCCGATTTGATTGCCGCAATGAATTAATCTGGTGTGTACATGGGACCACTTTTTAATTGTCTTTTCACCTGCCTTTCTATGAGCGAATGTGCAGAATCACCCTCGTTTTGAGTGTGGCCCTTTATTAAGTACTTATGGGTTATGGATCTGATATTAGGAAGTTTTTATAAACAGTATGAGTAAACAGCCAACATAAATTTGTTCTTCTGCTGTCCAGCGCAGTTGTCCGAGTAAAAAATAACATCTATATCGTTTTCTCCCATTGACTTTGCCTGCAAATAGTTAAAAACGCAGGTGCCCAAATCATTAACACCTCTATTTCCACTAGACTCATCCCATACAAAGCAATCAACAGTATTTGAGTGTAAGTCGTAAACTGTAAAATTGAAAACATTTAATTTTGATTTATAGTAAAAAAGGGACACATCACCTTTCGGGCACTGAAAAACCGCCTGTAGGTCGTAAACGGCGACTACTTGATTACTACTACAAGTTTTTATGGAATTTCCAGAAATTAACATTAGAAAAGACTGTACCTTCTGAAGATGAACTGTTACAGTAACTACAACTAGAACTACTGCTGGAGGAACTAGACTTCTAGAATGACTTATAGAAGAACGATTTTGATCATTTTTATGTAAAGTATCGAGTAGTGCCGGTACAATTGACGATGAAGCATCTGCGTCTAAAAATAAAAAAAATTATGAAATATTTACTAGATTATAAGTATAATGTAGTTTACCTCTTGGATTGATCTGTGATTGTTCGGCATCGTAAGCAAGCTTTTCATTTACAACGGAATGCTGAACTTGAATATTTTTTGTAGCCAGGTCTAGTATAAATTTACCACGAGTGCCCATTTTTATGCTACAAATTTAAAACTTCAAATATAAACACAATTTAATTTTCTTTATGTAGAAATATAAAAATAAGTATAATTGTTAAAAAATAATTATCTTTTGAAAATAACTTTTGCTAATTTGTTATTATCAAGATCGTCATAATACAGTATAATATACATTTTAATACATACTGTCTTTACATATAACTATAATAACATCATAATACTAAATAATACATACTTAGGAAAGCATTAAAGAAATATTGCTACTATAATAACAGCATAATTCAAAATGTTTTAAAACAATACATTTTCTTTTTCATAAAAAACGTCATATATCAAAATAAACAAAGTGTTATGTTATTAGTTATTTTCAAGAAGAGTGTCCTAACACTAACTCGGTCATTCTAAATAAAATGTTTTATCATAAAACTGAACTTACCTTTTCAAGAATAACGTCTACTCATGAAATATGTCGTTCTTGATGATAATACACGCAACCGCCTCTACTGAACACTGCAGCACAACTGAAATTCGACGTTGTTGAAGCAAGCGGAAGGCGAGTACTGAGTGGAGTTAGAACGACACTGTCGCCCTCCTTTCACTACCGAAGGTAATTCTCATATGTCGTCCTAGCAGCAAGAAAATATCACAAATGTTGATAATGTGTAACAAAAATCTCGTTAACCTCAAATTTTGAATTATGTCGTTCTTGTCGCAAATGAGCGATATAATAAAATATGTCTAGTGGCTGTAATGTCAGTGTACTCGGTAAATGATTCTAAAAAAGAACACACCTACACCCTAAATATTTTGTGTTGGTATCATGTGACGTCACAGGCTATGACGGGGATGACGTGCATCGTTATATAAATTAGATGAAGTGTACATCGTTATTTAGAGCTGCTGTCAATAAAGTCACGATAGCGAATATGGTAGCCAACATGATATCCAACGATCGATAACGGTCATGGAACTAGAAGAAGAAGAATAATACTTAGTGATAGCGTAAATAGAGGTAGAACCAATAATGTAACAAATTACAAATATTGTGTATAGCATAGTTTCGAAATTGCAGACACTAAATTACAAGAAATGGTAATGATGTTCCGAGTTATTTTTAATATTTTACTATTTGACTGTATGTGAATTATTAATTAGAAATTGATAAATTGTCTATAATCACAACCTGGCAGCAGTGTTTACAAATAAAAGAAAATATCTCATTTCATCAATTATTTAATAAAATTCTCAAATTAACGGAAAATTTTGGGAGGATATTTCTGCCGGTAACTAATATATATTTGCATATCTTACATCATTGTAGTTAAGATGAATTATAAAAACTTTTCCCTCATAATTAATTTTCTGTATGTCAGGCCATCTAAAATGATGTGTCTTTCTGCTGCCCTGAAAGGTTAAAATTCCACTATAATTGATTCCTAGATAAAGTTGACTTCTCTTTTGGTCCTGCAACAAGCCCTTTTAAATAAAAAAAAAATAGAAAACTGTTCTACACGTCGGGTGTGCCACACCAATACTAAACAATATTGCCAAAGAATAAGCTAGAGTTTATCTTCTACAGTAAATAACACAAAAGCTGTTCACATCAATGTACTCATTCAGAGATGCCTCATATATTAAAAGGCAATGGAAAAGTTTTATCATCGTAAACTTATATATTGTTATAAAACATAAGATTAATATTAAACCTTTATTTATTTTATTTAAAACTTTATTAGGTTATGTTAAGAAAATTCTGTGCTCTGTAATCTGGCTAGCCATCGGCGCCATATCGATTCCGGGTCGAATGGTGTAAAATGGGCGACCGGGCAGATGATTGTGGACGACCAGCCAATATCTGCGAAATAGGAAACTGGAAGATCAAACTTAACATTACGTAAAAAACACCGCATCGCAACATGGGATGTTGGGGGCTGCTACAGCCAGGTAAAGTGTATATATTAGAAAATTAACTGATCAAGGAGAAGATAGATATCTGTGGGATATCTGAGACACACTGGGAAGGCCAAGGACATTGGGAGGCCACACACTACAAAGTTTTCATCTCAGGAGCTACCAAATCAGGACAAAAAGGTGTAGCACTATTAATTCAAAAACGTTGGGCAAAATATGTATATAAATACCTTCCAGTAAATGTTCGAATAATCAAAATAACTCTAAACGCTAAACCAGCCAAAACGCATATTATACAGGTATACATGCCAACATACGAAGCGGTAGAAGATACAGTAGAAGAAAAATACCACCTGATACATGAAACCTTCTCTAGCATTACCAAAAAAGAACCAATTATGATAATAGGAGATTGGAATACAAAATAAAGCCACCACAGAACAAGAATACGCATCGACAGAAACGAATACATAGAGTCAGAAGAGGAGATAGCAATGGCGTGGAATGAATACGCAGAAAGACTTTTTAATGACGAAAGACCAACACAACAAACGCGCAAACTTCCTTCCGAAAACTTATCAGGGCCATCAATAATGCGAAGTGAAATAGAATATGAAGTTAGAACCACAAAGATGCATAAATCAACAGATCCAGATGAAATTAATATAGAAGCAATAAAACTACTAGACGAGGAGAATATCGAAATCTTGGTAAGGCTGTTCAATAGAATTTATGATACTGGTTACATTCCGCGAGAATGGCTGCAGTCATCCTTTGTGATGATCCCAAAAACAGCTAATGCCACAAAATGCAGTGAACACCGCTTAATCAGTTAAATGAGTCACTTGCTGAAACTCTTCCTTAGGATATTACACTCAAGAATGTACAAGATACTAGAAGAACTTAGCCGGTCAACACAATTCGGTTTTAAGGGAGGACTAGGAACAAGAGAGGCAATTTTATGTTTGAACACCTTAATACAAAACTGCTTAGATCAACGAAAAGATGTCTACCTCACCTTCATCGACTACGAGAAGGCATTTGACAATGTTAAACATGATATCATGATGGAACTACTACATAGGGCCAACATTGAGCAGGAGATCAGAATTATTCAGAATCTATACTGGAACCAAATGGCAAAGGTGAGAATTGATCAAGACCAATATACGGATGAATTTGAAATCTGGAAAGGTGTCCGCCAAGGCTGCATACTCTCTCCGATGCTTTTTAATTTATATGTTGAAAATATATTTGCGGAAGCATTAGAAGATACGGAATTAGGCATTAAGGTGAACGGCATACCAATTAGCAACCTACGCTATGCGGACGACACAGTGATTATAACTGATAATTTGGAAGATCAGCAGTTATTACTTGATAGGGCGAATAGGATAGGTAAAAAATATGGGCTTAAAATCAACATTTTGAAAACGAAATATATGGTCATTAGCAGAAACCCTCCAGAAAACCCGATAATATGCATAGGTGACGATCGTATAAAACGCGTGAAAATTTTTAAATACCTTGGCACCACAATCAATGACCAATCGGGTCCACAACAGGAGATAAAAACCCGAATACAAATGGCAAGTCAAGCTTTTGTGAAATTCAGACCGCTCCTATGTAATCAAATCCTAAATTTCGAAATACGCTACAGAATGGTCAAGTGCTACATATGGTCCATCTTGCTTTATGGCATGAAAACGTGGACTTTGAAAAAAACATCTATCAACAAACTTGAAGCATTTGAAATGTGGTCATTGAGAAGAATGATGCGCATACCTTGGGTTGATAGAGTTGATGACGAAACGATGACGTCCTTAAGAGAGCCGGCTTGGAAAGAGAACTCTTTGAATTAATTAAAAAACGCAAGATTGGTTACCTTGGGCACATATTGAGAGGAGCAAAATATGAAATACCACAGTTATTCCTACAAGGGAAGATCGAAGGTAGGAGAGGAGCCGGCCGCAAACAATTATCCTGGTTAAGGAATATTAAAGAATGGACAGGAATATACAATACAGGCCAGCTGTGTCACGCCGCCAAGAACAGAATTCTAGTAATGAGATAGTCGATAGTAGATAAAGATTTGATGATAAATCTAAACCCTAAGTTAAAAGCAAATATATTAGAATGATAGCAGAAATCAATGACTAAATTTTGTTTACAATTGCTGTGACACACCCCCACCTACTCACTTTTACTGGATGAGGGTCAACACCATATGTGTCAAGTTGACAAGCTAACTTCAAAAAAGCTGTTTCCACTTGGCTCTGACTTTGACCTTTTAACTGCTTTTGATGTATTTCCATTGCTTTATCTTCTATTGCTTCAGTTTGTTTTAATAATATTTTAAGATCAGAAACATAATTACCTAAATGAATCTCAGGGTCATAATCACCAAATTCGCCTGGAATTTAAAAAAAGCTTCAGAAAGTAAAAATTTTTAATTTAATTTGCACTGTAGATAAAAATGGCTTAAATAATTAATTTTTGAACCCAATTTTTTAAATTGTTAAGAGTATTTACAGAAATCTACAATGTGTTTTATCTACAGTTACTTTTCTAAAGTAAGTTTTGATGTAACATTCTCAAAAAGAAAATTGTGGTCTGTGCTTTGAGCCAATCGGTTTTTGGAACAAAATAATAATACAGTAGACTCCCGATTATCCGAGCTAATTAGGACCGCGCATACCTCGGATACCGAAAAACTTGGATTACCCGGAAATCGGGTGGTTGCTTAAAATAAACAAAATATTTAAAAGTTATGACGTGTATAATTCGTTTATTATGTACAATTGAAGTATGTTAACCTGTATGTGAGTACATAGTTAAAATATATAAATAGGAAAACAAGTACATACTGGATCATCTTCATGTTTTAAAAAAGTCTTTGATAGATTTTTGCGTCAACTTTTGGCCTCGTTTTGAAGCTGCGACGTTTTGCCAACACTGAAGATGAAGGACGTTGGTAGCGTTTGACTCTTCCTGTTGCTGAATGTAGGCAAGGGCAGCTCCAATCGCCTTCAATCCTACGGAGTGAGATATTTTCTCGATTATCTCATCTGTCATCCGCAGTGACATTGTGTAGGTTGATAGCCATGTCGCCGATTGCGTCATCTGTTAGTTCCATTTTCTAATCTTGCATAATCCACTCATTGACGTCTTCATCATTTATCGGCAGTTTCGTTGGTAACTGATTAGCGAGGTCTATTATTTCAGCAATACAGTCATTGTTATCTTTTCCATAACTTTTCGCTTCAATTTGAAAAAGCTTTCGCCATGACTTTTGCAGAGTTGTTACTCTCACATCATTCCACACTGAAGCTGTCCAGTAAGACACATCATTCCCTCATCCAAGCAAGTCAACAACACTTGGAGAAGCCTTCGACGATAGTTCCTTTTCATAGCGTGTAAAATTCCTTTGTCCAGAGGTTGAATAAGAGATGTGACATTTGGTGGCAAGAAAATAGCTTTAGTGTCTTTAGTGTCACTGCTAACCTAATTTATTACATAATTTTTGTTCTTTTCAATTACTACCCCAGTTAATCCAGAGGCTCAGTTAATCTGAACTCAGATAATCACGAGTCTACTGTACTTAAAAAAGTATACTTTATACAGGATGTCCCATTAAGATTGAGACATAGAATAAATGGAGATTCTCTGCTAAAAATAAGATGTTTCAACAAAAATGCTTTGGGAAAATGGTGCTTGTTTAAAAAATGAGGTAAAATTTGAAAATTAAAAAAATTTTGACTTCTGATTTTATCACTCAGTATAATTTTCCTGAAACTCAGCCATTGCCAGCCCTACACACAGGGATAAAGGAGAACAGTGAATGATTAATAGATGGGTTTCAGTGACACAGACCAAGTCAACTGGCTCCTTAAATATCAAGAAATGCCCTAGTCAAGATACTTTCATGATGCTAAAAAATCCTACCTACACCTTTACATCTTTGAAATAACAGAAAATTTAACAAAAAGCAATGGAATTAGATACTACTTATAACTTTTCTTATCTTTTCTTAAAAGTTGCTATAAGACACAGGAAATTATAAAATACACCTGCATGCCTTTAAAAAACTTTAAAAACAAAAATTGTACCTTGCAAAATCAATGCTGATAACATAGCAGCTTCAGTTGGACCACAATATAATCGACCATGCAATAGGTCCCGTTTTAACTGTAGAAATATTTGATATCTTGTGATTTCTTCTTTAAGTCTAAAGGGATCGGGAGGGTAGAACTTTACTCTAAAACTGAACAAAACTGGATCAAGATCTTTTACTTGCTTACAAATGGATTTTCCCAGATCCAACCAGTGCTAAAAGTATCAAAATATTAATTAGTAACGCAGATGGAATGTGGTAAGTAATTCTTCAAGTTTCTTATTAAGCTTTTAAGTCATATGTTGTTAAATTAAGTTCCTACCAGAAACAAGAAAGATAATTACTTACAGATGAGTATAGATAGAAATATATTGTAGATGGTCTACAAGGCAGAAATATTTAATTTGTTTTTATAAATATATTTGGATAATTTTTTTTCTTTGGTTTTTTTGACTGTGGGTATTATATAGTTATACAGTATATATTTAGGCAATAAATGATTTATCATAATTATCATAGGATACTAATGTTGTAAATATATACAAACATTTAAATAATTAGTTTAGTTGTTTGAAAATCTGTATGAATGAACATTTTCTAAATATTTTGAATGACATGCTTGACAGATATTTAAATTAAACTAGCTAAATCTAAACATATTTTTAAGTTTTTTAAGTTTCAAATTCATTGGAGGTGACAGTTTACAATAATACAATCTACAAATGTAACTGAAAATAATTTGTAACAACCTGACACTCACATTTGAAAATCACAGAGATAATACTTTAGTATAAATCAAAGCCTACTAGCCAATAACTATGCTCAACCTACTAAGATCAGTTGACAAATATTGGTTAGTTAGATTATTTTTTTCTAAGCATTCCCATTCCCATGAAATTTGATGCTGGTTATGAAACTAATGGCCACTATGAATATTAAACTTAGCAACAAACAATTTCTGCTTGAAAAATTTGCCCAGATTTTGTTCCAACTTCATCTAAAGAATTTCTATATAGTTTAAGAGCAACATATTTTTCACATTCCATATTACAACTTATGTTTGTGATAAATTCTTCTAAAATACCACATTTTTTGGCATACTGACTGTTGTCACAAAAAGATAGGGATGTATTTGTCAGTTTGATTTAAAAAATTTATAAGCCAAAGTAATATGATTAAAAAAATTGTCAATCAACATTCTTAATTCTTAAGTAAAATATTCAAAACAGAAACATTTTCATATTTTTATTTTCCTTCCTAGAAAATTAATTGCTTTTGAATAAGTTAGGTATTTTTGTAGTAAGTTAAAAGTAAGCTATAAAAGTCTGTTGTCCCCTGTACAAAAGTTATGAGTTACGTAGGTTTTTAGTAGAAATTGAAATTTGTATATATTTAGTGTAATAAATTTTAATACACCTGTCTTATAGACACTGTCAAGATATTTTTGTTATTGTTTAAAACAAATACTATATATTTATAATATTGCCTTGTGTTCCTAGGTTACTAAAACATCTATCCCCCATATAACTTAGGCCTAAAATACTATTTGGTGTGAAATCATGTTATACAACTGATACTACAAAATTTTCATATGGTAAACAATCTTTATGAAAAATTTAACTAAAAAATCAAAAAATGTTATTATTTTAAAACTATTAAATTTATTCCTCATCACTAGTCATCTTTGAACCAAGACTTAACACAAATAATATCATTACAAACTCTGTTTTTATTAACTTATCTTTGTAAGTTTTGCACCATATTATTTTAGATAATAGATTTGTTTGGTTTGTTCTAGTATAAGATCCTCTCAGTCATTCCATTTGTATTAAAACTTAAAATCACTTATATTCTTACACTCAAATTATAGTATTGAATTATTTCTAGATATATTTCAGCAGCTTTAGATTTCACCGAGTTCTTCTTGAACTTTGAAGTGTAACATACATATTTTTGTCTTAAATCACATTAGCTTTTCAAGAAGTATGAATGTTCCTGAAAATTCCATTCTATCCCTTCAGATATGTAAATATCAGTTTGTTCAAAATGACATTTATATTTAAAAGTCATCATACAATCATACATAAAATATCTTAAATGATGGAAAATCAAACAGAATTTCTTGTGAAAAATGGGAATATTCCCCAAACTTTAATTTACTTTTATGCTATGTAGGTGATTTGTGAAGCACATAATAAAACCCTGGTGTAACATACAAAGATTTCCAGTTTTCTGATGATAAAATAACACATATCTACTGTATAAAACACTGCCTTATAGGGGGATATATGTATTGTCATAGAAAAATGTTATTTGGTGTTTTATTACTCTCTGATCTTGATTGTCCACATAGCGTAATCCTAAATAGTCTTGTTCTATGAGATTAAGCTGTTGACACACATATTCTAATAGATATATTCCTTTATGTTGAGGCTAAAACACATACTCTTCATTAAAAATGTATGTTGTATTATAAATTTAACTTACCTTATATTCACACTCTAGGATTTCTGTATCTTCAAGTAGCCTAACAGTACACTTATAAACAATATTGCTGTCATGTTTTGAGCCAAACTTTAACATTTTTCGAATATTTCATATGTGTTAAGTTATAGAAGAAATAATTCTATAACGTTTAACGCAGAATTTATACCTATATAAAATTTAAAAATAAACAACAACCAATTTTAGTACATTTCTCTGATGTATGAACATATTTCTTCTTTTTAACTAAAAATTTGACAGATGTTTTCAATGTCATAATAATAGAGAAAAGAAGAAAGGTTAGCAAAACTGACCGCATTTATAAAAAAAAAATACAATTTTAATATACCTATTAATAAATTAAATACTATTGTTTTAGACTTTTGATTTTCCCACTAAAAAAAAATATTTTTTCTTAAATCCAATCCTATCTTCTTATGTCTTTTGATATATGCAATCAGTACAACTAAGTCATGTAAGTTGGGTGGTTTGCTTTTTTCTTTAACTCATTCAATTCTTTTATGCTGTTTTTAATTCTAATTACCTCAAAGTCTTCTCGTATGACTAAATAATATATCCCATATTGTTTATTTCTAAACGAGTCATTTATGTCACTTTGTAAAAGTGCCAGTAACCAGAAATAACGACAATTATGACATCTTCACTCACGGCCTGCTAAAATAAAAATCTTACCTTTATCATTAAACCACAATTATCTCCAAAAGTGTTAACTTTAGGTATAGGGTACACTAATAGTATTTGAAAGATAATTCACTTCTTTTTCATTAAAATATATATACAGGGTGTTTCATATAAAATTATTGACTTATGATTTTAAGTTTCAAGAAGTGACGTATCATTATTGAACACCCTGCATTTAAAAATTCTATGGTATCGATGTAAATTCCAAAAGGAGCATTACCTACTCTTTGTGTGCAAAAGTTTTCAAAATATTAATTTTGTAAATGGATGAGCTATTAACTTTGAAACTTCCTCTGTCAACATTTTTGGAAAAAGATAAATAACTCAAAAAATATGACTTATGCTACCTTATACAACTTGTATCTAAAATTTTACGTATAATCCAAAAATGCAATAATATACAGATGGTTTCATTTAGTTTTCATTTCCAGTATAACTGGAATGTCTGTCAAAATATTTTGTTTGTTCTTATAACTTGTAATCCCCATAAATATCGTGTAATTAGTTTCTGATATATCTTTCGATAGGAAAAAATTGTTCTTCATGAATTTATATAAGTATTCACTTAATTACTTGCTTAACATTTTTGCCATATTTTGAAACTAGCTTGATTATGATAATTTATTATGGCACGATACAAGTAGGATGCCATTTCGGGTTCCTCTGGTATTCTAATAGATATTTACATAGTTTGTATTTTTATATCTTTGCCATCACATCCAGTAAAGGAAAACATAAAAAAAATAGCCAAACTAGCGGGCTACCGGGCACATGGACGAAAGTTAAAATGTAACCACCAACCTGTAATCATCAGACGAAAACGAAAGAAATAGAGGGATTAAGAGGAAACTCGTATATGAAACAGACAGTTTAGTATATTCAGATTGGCGCAAAAAGAACGTGCAAATGCAAGCAAGGGATGACACCGATAGAATAACTCCAGAACGGATAGAAAACAGAAAAAACACACAAACTTTACAACAAATATCTAATTATAACAACAAATATCTGATTTGAATGCTGTACATCTAAGTCGGAAAAATCCATATGACAATAAGCAAATGCTAGGTTCTACTGAAAAAGAAGCATCTCGATTCATTGTTGAATAATGGAAACATAATAAATGTCTAATCAACCAACAATAGGAATTATTTTTAGGCTCATAAGCCTAAAAGGAAAACAATGCGAAGTTTTAAATTCCATAAAAATCAGGAAATTGGAATACTTGGGGCACATAATGAGAGGTGAAAAGTACGAACTACTAAGGAATATAATGCAGGGTAAAATCAAAGGTAGAAGAAGCGTAGGAAGACGTAAAATCTCGTGGCTACGCAATCTCCGTGAATGGTTTACCATTAAAAAGTAACCAATAAAATTATAATTGCCAGAATGATTTCCAATCTCCGATAGGAGTGGAACTTGAAGAAGCCAAAGACTATAGATTTTTTTAAATTTCGCTGTATTTGGAGAAAACAATTCATATTCGGCGAATCAATATAATTGAAAGTTCATATCCTGATTCAATATAACATTTAAATTTACAAATAATTGGAACACATTTTTTAAATCTTTATTTTATGCCGTTTTTCTAGCAGTTACTTTACAACATTACATAATAGGCTATTGATTATGTACTTTAGAAAGGAACCACAACGTTGAAGGAGTTTTATTATTTCATAGATAGATAGATAGGTTTATTGACAATTTTTACATAGTAAACACTACATGTCATGTCACAAAAAAAATAATTTACTTTTGTATACTAAGAACTAAGAAATAATACAAGAACATATAATAAAACATATACAGTGAAAATTAGATATATAAAATTATAACAAATAAGAAAGAAACATTTCAGTAAGGCGTAATATAGTTTTCATTAAAAACGACCACACTAGGAGCTCAAACAAACAAATTTCTGTATACTATAGAAACAATGTTCCAGCAGGAAGTGTTTTGCTAGTTTATAAAATTGTTTAGAATTCATTGCCTTAATATCAATATTTTTGTTTAAGTTTAAAAAACAATTATACAGATTATAATCTATTGTATTAAGTTGTGTAACACACAATCTGGAATATGGTATAATGATATGACTTTTATTTCTTGTATTGTAATGATGTTGATCAGCATGTGATTTTACATCTTTTATATTATTATGAATAGTTAACAAAGTTTCAAATATATATATATATATATATATATATATATATATATATATATATATATATATATATATATATATTGAAGGTAAAGGAAGAATGCCATACTTCTTAAATAAGGGTTTACAGCTGGCGCGATATTCTGCCGAGTCAATAATTCGGATTGCTGCTTTTTGAAAAGTGAAAACTTTATATGCATAGGACGAGTTTCCCCAAATAAGTATGCAATATGTCAGGATACTATGAACCATTCCAAAATAAACTGACCTAAGAATATCTCGACTCACAGAAGTAGCCAATCTGCGCATAAAAAATCTGTGAGGCGAGCCCCCTACACAATCGTTCAATATGGTGCGACCAGTTCAACTTTGTATCCATAGTAACACCTAGTAACTTTACTGGTTCATATGGTCAGTGGACTCCATATGGTAAATATATAAAAACCGTGGAGTGCTACCATTTAAAGGGATGCGTTTTTGAAAAAGGGGTAAATTGTCCCCTGTGCACTAGGGTGCATTTGGGAAGAACTGCATTTTGGGATAACTATGCAGTTTTCATACATATACAATCTACAGAAAAGTTGTTGAAAATTAAATTTCCTCTCAAAATATCACCTTTTAAAGTCAAAAATGAGTTTTTTTGATAAAAATACATTCAATAAACGAAGCGAAAAAAATATACGCTATTTTTTTTACCCATAACTTCCACGAGGTATAGGTATAAGCATTGCTTTACAAAAAAAACTTAGTTTTCCTCTTCAAAATGGAATTTGGTAAAAGTTTTGAAGATTCACAGTATTTAAGATACAATTTTTCAAATTTCGCCATCCACACCATTTTTACCTATTTTTTGCAAAAATTGTTTTATAACTCTTTTCTATGCAGTTTTAGGTATATGCAATGGCACATTAAATAAAAAGAAAAAATAATTACCTTTAAAATGGTCGACTGTGGAAAACTCTACAAATACATATTATATATGTACGACACACGTAACAGCAAAGACACACGTAAAATTTTGCGCCCGTGTTGATTTTCAAAATAACTGTGTAAAAAATTATTATTTCGCGAAGAAATTACGCATGATTGTTCTATATACCAATAGTTTGCAAAAAGACTTGTAAAAACTTTTTGTAAAAAGTGAATACTAATGGTATATGTATATACTATTAGTTTGTAAATTTTTTTTGTAAAAAGTGCAGTTACAACGAATAATTACTTTACCATTTCACAATTTGTTAATATATAACCAACTACTAATTACATACAAGGAAAACCGTACCATGCCGTCGCCTCTTTTTCTTCGAACTGCTCGAAAACTAAAGCGACAGCTGACAGCAAACTCCAGTGTGACAAATTCACATCACATGCACCGACCATTCTTTAGAGGATCGCGTCACCCGACAGAAAATTCGTGGATTGAGTATCCTTTTTAACTTTTGTAGCTCAAATATTCCTATTTCGAAAATAAGAGATCTTCTGCTAGACTTAAAATTGAAATTCTTACGAAAATTGGTGATTTTGATAATAAAATAACTGAGTTAAACCATAAGCTCAGCCAGATTGATTTATTTAAGTCTACCGAATTCACGGATAATATTGCTAACCAAGCTGTAGATCGCGTAACACGTGGTAAAAATATTCTAATCAATACCACAATCTTCCTCTGGGGACTGGGGATGCACAACGGAGACAAGATGACGACGCAAATAAGGTTAACCTTGTCCTGGAAACTGTTGGCTTCCAGAAAAAGCAAATCACCTTCTATAATTTTCGTTTATAATTTTTCTACCGACGACTTTAATGATTGCCTATTTCTATATATTAATTTAGATTCACTTTCCGCTAAGTTTGACGAATTTGTATGCACAGTGCAACTTTTTTAACCCGACATTATTTGTATTTTAATTACTATTAAACTGGGAATAAGCCACAATTAAAGATAAAAATACGTTTATTGACGTTTCAATTTCCACTTCGGAAATCGTTCTCAAAATACAAACAGTAAATTAAACAAATTTTGTTTTTTGTTACATAGTGAAAAATTCTTCTAATAATTTAATTTTATCTGACTCATTTATATTGACAATTCAGACATACATTATGCATTTTAAAGTAAACGACTTTACTTATAAGATAGTTCATTCGATTACATGAAATCAACTTTAACTTGAGAATATCCGTCAGAAAAAATCATAGCATGTAATTCGTCTTTAAAAAGACAAACACATGACAT